GAATAATCTTTTATACGAAAGGAATGTGATGAAACATGGGGTTATAAAATTTGGGCTCTTTAAAATTCATAAAAAATGTGTTCTGAAGTGGAATATTTTTGAAAATAGAATTTGTCATATTCATTGATTGTTGGGTCATGGATGTTAATGATGGATGTGCATCATTATATCTTATATTATATTTTTTATGCGGTGATGTAATTATTTGAATTTTTAGAATTAGGAAAAGAATGAATTGAAAAATTATCACGTGAATATATATATATATATACACACACAAAAAATATATATATATATATAAATTTAATATGTCCCTAACATGTCCATGTCTTACTTTTTTGAAAAATTTCGTGTCAGCGGTCCGTGTCATATCAGTGGCCCATATCCATGTCCGTGCTTCTTAAATTCTCACTACTTAGCCACATTGTTCCTGCAATTTGCATAACCGTTGGTTGACATTTTTTTTCAAAATACAACCGCTATCAAATTTGTTTCTACTAATAAAAGATTGTGTTATGCTATGCATTTTTTTATGCTGAGAATAATTAACGACTGTGTTTCTTATATTTAAATGGGTAAAATGAATATGAATAGCTAGAAAATACAAAATGAATGTTTCAGGTGCTATGTGAAAAATGAGATTGCATTTTCATGTTGTGTCAGGTGCTTCACCAGCTGATTTATTCATGGTCTCCTCTCCTGTCTTGATACATGTCTGCAGACTGCAGTTTTACAATTGAAAGAACACTATTACGTTCAATGAGGCCATTCAGGAAGGCCAACTCAAATCGAGGAAGTGACCGGGAGCTTGTGGAACTCACACAAATCACAACTCTTGCTTGCCACATCTGATCTTGATGATTTCAACGTCTTTGGTCGTAAGAACAGGGAGTCATACGATACGGACCATTCCAAGTAGGTCTATCAATAGATTAGATTTGATATATGAATCCAAATTCGATCAGTTGGATTTGAATTGGCATTTTTGACCAATTATCCAAATTCAAATTTGGATCTGTTTTGGCATGTTTTACGGATTTAGATTTGGATTTAAAATGCCAACATCTGATTTCAGTGTGATTCAATTCTCATATGCGGATGTGTATGTAAATATATGATGGTATTGGGTGATAATTTTGATGAAAATGAGTTGAAATTTAGTTGTAATTTATTAAAATTCAAATCAATCAAGTTATTCAGATCTGTTCTTGTGTTTTGATTGAATTTTTAGTTTTTATCGAATTCTGATATGAATTGAAAAAACAAATTAGATTTGAATGGTGGTCGGACAAGATATCGATGAAATCTAATCTGTTGAGAGGCCCAATTCCAAGAGGTATGAATGATAGGAAAAAATATTTATTGCAACGACGATACTATGTCAGTATTGTTGCGTGATATTTGTATATAAATAAAAAAGTTGATCCTGGACAAGTTAATAATTATTTGTTTATGTAATTAGATAACTATTCACTTTTCCTTTGTAAGTTAATAATTACCCGTTTTTGTATGCAGATATGTGCTCATTTTTCTTTTATATAAGTTAATAATTATTTAAATGGAGTTTATTTTTTTCCATTTGCGGTTTTATTATAGGTCGGTGATATAATATCATTAGTGTTGATATGAAATTACCATTGTATTGAATATTTTGTCGCATAATAAGACTTTTTTGAAATGATGGTGGTGGTATTAATTGTCGAGGAATTTTTTTGGGGTTATTTGTGTAACTATTTTCTTGATTTAGAAGAAAATAGTTGTTTCTTACCTTCTGGAGATAGAGTATTCATAACTTTATAATATATTTTATAAGTAAAAATTATTATATTTGTTCCTTCCTTAAAGTTGTAACCATAAGTTTTAATGTTATAGGTTAAAACATTTTAGAAAATTTTTAACCATGACTCAAATTTAAATTAAAATTTGAGTAAAAAACTTGATTTAATATAAGGGACTTTAATGGACAAAGTCAAATTTAAAGGAGAGGCCCAAATTTAAATGAGGACAAACTCAAATTTAAAAAGAAGTATGATTATTGGATCTTTAAAAGATGGTGAAATCTCACAATTAAAGATTTGAGAAAATATTTGAGTCTCATTTGATTTGAGTGAAAAAATGAGTTTTCTTTAATTTAGTATAAATTTGAATCAAGGGTTGGAGCAAATTTTTTAAACTTTTTTACTCAAATTTAAATTTGAGTCTAAATTTCAATAAGGGTTGGAAATGCCGTAATATATTTCTATTCATTAAGGATACTAATAAATTTAGAAAACAATTAAAATAGACGGAACGTATACTTAAACTAGACTACATAACTTCCATTAAAGATTGATCAAAATGAAGACAATTTTGTTAAATGGTTTTTAACTTATTATGCTCCACCTAATATAGATCAATTAAATGTGATAAAAAAATTCTAACATAAATGAGAAACGTTGAATGGTAAAACTATTAATAGTTTTTATTCTCCAACAACCGAAGTAGTAAAGATAAACCTTAAAGGTTCGAAAGATATTGTAATGAATGCAAACTACCTCAAACGTAGCGACGTAATTTTATGAGGTAGATATTGAAGTTTCTTTATCATAACTCTCAATTTAATTAGTATAATGGTCATTTTGGTTGTTCTGTTGGCACTTTAGTTGTCCACATTTTTGGACAAAGTTTATTAAGAATTGATTTTCAAATCATCGTGGTTTTGTTACTTTGTGACTTATTTACGGTATTTTTTCATTTTTTTTTCAATGTGTTATTATTTACATTAAAGTATGGTTTAAGTTCACGTTTTGAAAGTATTTTGTTAAAAGTATAGTAAGTGTTTATATTGAAAAATATGAACTTAAAGCAAATTTTTATATATAAAAGCTTAGATTCTAGAACCATCTCGAAACAGTTGAAAATAAAGATTTATTGAGTTAAGTTATATCACCTAAAAAAATTGTAATTGAATTGTCGATGTCTTATGTAGTGGTAAAAGTGTGATTAAAGTGAATATCGATCCTCATCTCCATTGCTTAGAACATATAGAAATAAAATACTAATTGTGCTTATAACAAAAGATTATATTGCCCATTTTTGGTTAATGATAAAGGTGTGATTACTAAGAAGTGAATACCGATCTTCAAATTTCATATTCATTCCTATCAACATATAAAAATAAAATATTAATTCGGCTTATCAAAAACAGTTATAATTTCATTATTTACATCTGGTCTAGTGGTAAAGGTGTGACTACTAAAAGTACCTCTAACCATGACTCAAATTTTTACTCAAATTTAAGTTAGTATTTGAGTAGAAAACTTGATTTGATACAAATGACTCCAATAGATAAACTAAAATTTAAATAAAGAGAAACTTAAATTTAAATGAAGGCAAACCCAAAATTAAATAAGGGTAAATTTGACTATTAAATTTTTAATGGAGAGTAAAATTTTATCATTAAAGATTTTGATAAGGATTTAAGTCTCCTTTAATTTGAATAAAACAAAGAATCTCCCTTGATTTGGTATAAATTTTAATAAAAGTTGGAATAAGTTTTTTTGATTTTTTTATTCAAATTTAAATTTGAGTCTCAATTTGAATCAAGATTAGAGATGCCCTAAGAAGTAAATATCAATCTTCAGATTTCATCTCCATTCTGTACAATATATAAAAACTAGTTATTACCTGTGCCTGAAGGCACAGGATAATAAAAAATGATAAATAATAAATATATTTGTATTCATATCTAAAATCAAATTATTAACATAGATGAGAGATAAATGAATTTAAGTATCGGTTGTAGCGGGAGTGAGAGGTGGTGGTAAGAGACGGTGATGATTGTAGTGGTGGTGGGGGGTGGCAATGATGATGTTGGTGCAGTGGTTGTGGCGACGGCGATGACAACGGTGGTGGTGACGACGGTGGTGGTTGTGGTGGCGATAGTGGTGGTGGGAGTGGTGGTGGCGACAACAATGACGACGATTGTTGCAATGGTGGTGGTGACGACGCGACGACGGTGGTGGTAGAGGTGGCGGCAGTGACAATGGTGATGGTAGAGGTAGTGATAGAACAGTTTCAAACACTATTTTTTAAAAAATATATATACGATAAATAATTTTTAAAAGTACTTTTAAAAAGTTACTTCAAACACACCTTTAGGAGTCTATTTTTTCTATTAAATTTAAAGTGTTAATATTAATCTTTAGATTAACTTTAAAGTAAAATTTAAAACGATCTCAACCGCGAATAACAAAAATTATTTTATTTATCTTTTGAGATTTGAATTGTAAGATACTTTATTATATAAAAATAAAATACAAATTGGGCTTTATCATGGTGCGGTGATAAATCAATTTCCAAAGAATTTTAAAACCCTAAAAGGCCAAATTAGGATCAAGAATTTTGAAAAGTATATGTATTAAGACCATTCTAGATGGTGATCTTGATATAGAAGTTTACAAGGAACAACCAATTCAAGACAATTATCACCCAACATCTCCACTTCATGAGGAAATATTGTTAATGTAGTAGACGTAAACACATACACACAACCAAGGCAAAAATCCGAGTCTCACAATGGTTTTAAGCTTGTAAAGACCTCAAGTTTTCCCTGCAAAGCAGGATGATTCATCAATAACCTGTCCAAGGACATGAATTTTACAAAGAGAGCAAGATTTTTTTGGGTAAGTCACAAAGAGAGCAAGTTATCAAAGTGGATCAACCTCGATCCTGTTCAGAGATACCACCACCGGTAAGTCACAGGCCAGAAAAACAATTTCCGGGAAATGACTACCAGGTGCACATTATATGCTAAACTAACAAGGAGAATGCCCAAACACAGATAATAGTACAGATACAAAAATAAAAGCCAAAACAAGACAAGTGGGTTGAGAGGGCATCAAGAGCAAAGAGCTCGGCTCGATCATGCCCAAGGGAAACGACTACATTTGTCACTCGCAAGGTAATGTCAAGCGAGGAAGTCAGGGGGGCACAACACAGCTCTCTAGCTATATTTATGGTCATATGTGGAGTTGGCCAGAAACGTTGTCACGGCCAGAGCTGGCATCTTTGTGTTTCAAAGAAAGACTTGCAAACTGTGAATCAAGGTCTCTACTGTTGGTGCGCCGATGGCTAGAAGATGGTTGATGTTGCTGCTGATACATGGCTCGTAGCCTTCCAATCTCTCTCTCCAACACTTCATGCTCCACTGCACATAGAGCACTGACTATTTCAGTTTTCAAGCAAAATTAAGCCCAAAAAAAAACCTGCTGACCTGTAATGCAGCGGCTAACAATATCTATCAAGGATAAATAAGTTTTGAGTAATGCTAGATGGACTTAAAAACTAGATTTAAAAATTAGACTTGATAATCTCAACCTTTAAATAGATAGTGGTCCCAATAAATACTGAGACCCACAATGAAATCAATGGTTGACATTATCAAGTCTAGTTTTTAAGTCCATGTAGCATTGCTCATAAGTTTTTCATACATCAAACTTAATTTTGAACTTGTCCGGAAGGCTAATGTTTCCTGACAGAAAACTAATGTCCTCACAACAACAAAAACGTCTCCAAAACCAGTTTGCAGCAATGCAAATCATCCACTACATATAAATTGCTATACGCCATTCCAAGCCTCCTACCTTTCCTCCATTCCAAGAAGCAGATTTTTGGCATCACCCCAAACAATTCCAAAGAGAAAACATAAAACCCCAAAGATCTGTTGCCATCTTGCCATTCGGTACCAAATGATTAGAAAATACTACATCCAAGTAGATCACTTTTCTCAGCTTGCAACACAACCTCCGGTAAAATGTGGCACAAAGCCTTGCCAATTATAAATGGAAATTTCTGTTCCTTACTTTCCTAGCAAAAGCAATTAAACGTAATTTGTGATTCTCCCCTAACAACTTTTTTTGGGTCTAATACAAAGCAGACATATAATTCCATAATTCCTCACCTTAACTACAAGTCCCCTTTTTTTTTTTTTATCATACTTCCCTACAGAACAAACAGAATCTGGATAGCAGAGACTCCACCAGGCGACACCACTTCCTTAATGTCAGGGTTGTGTATATATCCTGAAATACACAGATATGGGAATTTCTAATTTTTTTCAGACAGAAACTAATCCGTGTATTTCTTAAACAAATGATACAAGGTGCCAGAGACCGATTTCCTGAGTCTGAAAAGCCTTGAAAATGCCACCTATCGTTTACTTCTTTCTACACATTTTCAATGCAATTTTCTTTTCGGTCTGCATTTATGTTCACTATTCAACCTTAAAAAGCATCAAATATAATGCAATTCCCATATTTTTTTTGGGTCATGTTCTGCTCCAATAGTTGGTACCATTTTTACCCACTTTTTCCACATTTGCTTCTCAAACAGCACATGATGAAAGGGTAATGATTTCATATAATTACAACTCCGCAACACACAACGATAGAAACTTACAATATTTGATAAGCTGCTCCTGGGCTAAACTTTCTAAACGTTGCTTCAGGGCTTTGTTCTCCATGCTCAGAATAAGATTCTGCTGGTTGAGAAATTCAAGCTCAGCAGATACGTCAGAACCTTCTACCTGCATCACAAAAAGATGTAACATAAACACTCTCAGATGGAAATATGAATCCATTCTGCAATTTATCTGTAAATTTGCCCATAAATTCAGATACTTACCTGTAAAGTTTGTACATTCCTTTCCAGCTCAGCAATATACTGAAGCTTTCGCACCCGCGATCGTTGAGCAAATTGCCTGCATTTCCATGTTCATTAGAGGTTCTACCTCAGTCAAATTTATAGCTTTATGACAACCAGTTTTAACGCTGGATCAAGACCAGAGTTTTAAAAAAAAAAAACTTATCTAACTTGAAACACCTGCAATACTTCCTAAATACTCTTGGATACAAGTCAGACATGCTTCCAAGAAACAAACGAAAACAAGAGCACAGTCATGTGCAAGAGCAAACCTTTCGTTTTGGTGCATCGTTTCGGTTGCTTAGAAAAGAAAAGTTTCGGAAATGTTTAAGAAATAGAATTAAAACGAAGAAAATTTTGAAAATTTGTTTCCGAAACATTCAAAGTGTTGGCCAAAACACCCCGAACCACATTGAACCTTGGGAAATTCAATATGTAATTACTGTCTCGTTTTGGTTTTTATGGTGGAAACGAATTATTTATGGTGGAACCATGGGAAATTTTGATCCTTCATTGCGAGAAAAGACAAAACACCAGTTACTTGGAACCATTTCCAAATAAAAAATGCAAGAAATAATAAAAATTAATGGTGCTAAATCTAGGACCAGTCAAGCCTACGCAATGTGACTCTAGCATTCCCATGAATTCTTAACATGCTTATTTGTTATAAAATTTAATTCTAGTTCTTCATACACGTGTGTCCCTATTCCACTTTCTCATCATTAGTCATATAAGCATGTGCATACAAAGTCAAACATGTATCCTGCCTTAATGCCAGTGCTCCATTCCACGGAAAACAGAATTAGTTGTTTTAGTATAGAGGAGAACTTCTTAGAAAGGACCAAAAAAAAATACTGCTAATAACAAATTACCTTTGGACTACGTAATTGCAAGGTTCGTCACAATAAACAGTAAGCACTCCAAGCTTAAATTTCTTTCTTACATGAGCTCCTTTGGTTTACACTTTACACTAGAGCAAAATTGTTCTATGCTCATGTTCCACACTTCCTCTATAAGAGGAGGTGATTCCACTCTTTAGGCAGTTTGGTTTTTAACCTTACAATGCAAAAAATAAGACAATGAATGTTTCTCTTTCACCGTGCCCAGGGACAGCAAATTATATATAGAACCCGTGACAGGCAAAGATCAAAGTCCCCCACTACCTTATATAGAGAGAATAGATCTTCTATGACTTTGTATCATCCAAGAGAAGGAAAGGATGGTCCACTACAAATACAGTCTATATTAGTAGATGTAGAGAATTCGTATTTGAAATACCTCCTCCAAATGTAGTTTTCCCCTAAAAATTTGGTAATAAGCAGAAGTGTATAGAGTAAAGTGTGCTCCTAAAGGACGGGCATGTAAAGTGAGGTACACCAAGCGAAACTAAATAATATAGCATTTACTGTGATGCCCAAAACCTAACAAATGTCATCAGAAGCAAGATAAGCATCAATTAGCCAAAAAATAGAGAACTCGACATTGTTCTCTTCAGTGTCAAGACCCGTCATTGGATACCGTAAGAAGTTTCCAGTATATTGTGAATAAATCCCAGTTTTTAATGCGCAAAATTTAATCTTTCTCTCCTCTAAACTCTAAACTCCAAACTCCTTTAGGCCATTCAATGCGGTCCAACATAAAAACTGCTACCCAGATTAGATTCTATGCATTATAGTTTAGAAGAAAGGAAAGAGGAGGAAAACACGTACACAAACTGCAGTCCACATGAATATAAAACCAAAGGCAATAGAATACCATCACTATTTTATGCCTTGGCTAGTTGGCTTAGAGAAGACTGCTCAACTAATCAGAAAATACATGTGATCCAAGTGCTACACAATCAAGCTTCTTCTCAAGTGTGATGATTAGGGCTTAATTCCAATCACGGACATTGTGAATCAAGAAGCTCGGAAATTTGATTCAAAGTCAACCTTCACAACTTTCTGTCTTAGATTCAGCTCCATCAAAGCCTATTAGAGTTCTTATTTATATTATTAGAACTGCAGGGTAATAATGTAATTACTCATAATGTCACTTTATTATAAATAAAAGAGTGTAGGGCAACATAGCTCACACGCATATTATTCTCATCTTCTCTCATTCTTTTCCTTTCTCTTTATCTTCTTATCTCTTTCTCTCCTTATTCTAACATAGTATTGTAATTTTTACTTCTTAACTTAGTCTCAGAGCATCGATGCTAAATTTGTATTTTCTTTTTTTGACATCAATGAACAGTGCCATGAGTGAACAGTATCCAGCGGACAGTAACCTAGTGCACAGTGTTTGTGAAAAGTACCTTTTTTTTTTTTTTTGGGTGTTGCCAGATCATTGTTCCAATGGTGATTTCTTTTGGGGCAGTTTCAATACACACTAGATAGATGCAATTAGATTATAGGAAGTGGGATTACTTAAGCCCAAACGTTTGTTGTTGATTTCGACATAATTTCTGTGAGTTTTTGATGTTCAACTACTGTTCCGGCCTTGAACAGTGATCGGGATTGCTCTAGGTTGCTCCGGTGTTTGTTTTTTTGCCGTTTTTTGGCTTCTAACTTGTGGGTTCTTGGTTGTGGTTGAGTTGTGGTGGGTTCAGTTCAACGCACTATGTTGCTGAGTCCGGTCTATTATTTGCTAATATGTGCTTGTGAATTGAATTTCTAAAGCCATTGATTCAGATTCGAGTATTCTCTTAGTACTTTCTATATTAGTTAGTGTGTAGGCTATCTATGGTTTGACATTTTAGTTCGACATCACATAATTACTTGTGAGTTTCTCAATGACGACTTTGAATAGTAGTAATGGTGGTGTTCGTAATGGCAATCGTGATCTGCACCATAATGCTAGTCGTGGGGGTCTTATATACAAGACATAATGGAAGTGGTGATTGTTCTGGTCGTAATCATCGTTCTGATTGGAAGCATACTTATTGTGGCAGTACAGGATATACTGAGAATTATTGTTGGGATAAGTATGGGAAACCAACATATGCTAATCAGGCTTCTAATAATGCTTTGGGTTTTGCATTACATCAAATTTCACGGTATAATCCTCTTCCCGCCGAGCCCCCTTTCTCCTCGGTCCACAGAGATACAATGTAGGATTGGTTATATCAGTTCATCACGAAAGAAAGGACTCACTAAGTTGGGATCACTAACTAATACTAATCTAATATAATAGAAAATACTTATATATAGAATCTAATAGAAAAGAACTATCTTTTGTGTTTACTTTCTCCGATTCCGTTGCTACCGAGGCGGCGAACAAAACAACTACATTTTAACTTTTTCCTCCATGAGATGAGCCCAGTGCATTGAACCAATGGATAATAGAACTGAGCTAGCCTAAAAAGCGCTTAGGCACTCTACGTACAATGTAAACCCCATTAGATGCATATCGATTTCTTTACGATGGATCAAGAATAGATAGTTGTCCCATCAATAAATAGAAATATGAGATTTCTCCCGATTCTTTATAGATTCCCTACCAAAGGTCTAGTCGTATCTATTATTGATCCTCATGATGATCTCTCTCAACTTCGACAACTCATCCAACAACTATCTTTACTTTCTACACATTTATCTATTCTTACTACCGGTCTTGCTAGTGGAGGTAACTCTACAAGTGTGGTTATTCAACCTCCTTCATCATCTTAGATCATTGATTCTGGAGCCAATGCTCATATGTATGGTATTTCTTTTCTATTCTCCAATTTTCGTTCGTCTAACACACATATTGTGTTAGCTGATGACTCTTTTCAATCAGTACATGAGACTGAAGATCTCCATCCTACACAGTCTATGCCATTAACATCTGGATTGTGTGTTCCTAATTTTTCTTTTTAACTTGTTATCTGTGAGTCAATTAACTAAGTCCTTACAATGTTTGGTAACATTTTCTCCATTTTCTTGTATTTTTTAGAACCTCAAAATGAAGAAGGTGATTGGTGAGGGGCATGAGCGTAAGGACCTTTACTACTTAGATCATGGTGATTCAGTTCTTGCCTTGAGTACTATTATGTCTCCCCTTCAATGGCACTTTCGACTGCGTCCTCCATCCTTGCAAAAGTTGCATCAAGTTATCTCTAATTTGAGTTCTTCTGTGTTAGATTATGAGGCTTGTCAACAGGGAAAGCATCACCGTAGTTCTTTTCCTTCTATTTCTTCAAATCGTCGGTTCAATCCATTTCATGTTGTTCATACAGACATATGGGGTCCTGCAAGAGTCAAAAATATTTCTAATTTTCAGTTTTCTGTCATCTTTGTTGATGATTTCTCTCGTGTGATTTGATTATTTCTTATAAAAGACTTATCTGAATTATCCAAGATTTTTACCACTTTTTATAATAAAATTATGGTTCAATTTGATACCCGTATTAAAATTTTTCAATTTGATAATGCCCTTAAGTATGTTCAATCATTTAGGAAAAATTTTTGTGCAGACCGTGACATTATCCATCAAACTACACGTCCTCATATCTCCCAACAAATGGCGTTGTCAAACACAAACATCGTCATTTGTTGGATTTAGCCCACACCTTGATGTTTAATATGCATGTGCCAAAGTCATATTAGGAAGGTTGATGTTGTAGTTACTTTAGTTTATCTTATTAATCACATGTCTTCCCCCATTTTGGACAACAAATCTCCTTTCTCGTTGCTTTATCCTAATAAACCACCATTTAGACTCATTCCTCGTGTCTTTGGTTACATTGTATTTTTTCATCTTCTTAGTCTGAGTCGGGATAAACTTTTCCCTTGCACGTAGCTAAGTATCTCTTTTTGAGATATTCTCATACCCAGAAAGATTATTAGCGCTATGACCATGTCTCTCGCCTATGCTACGTCACTGTTGATGTTACTTTTTTGAGTCATCATCTTTCTTTTCTGCGTCAGGAAATATACTCTCACCAGAATTTAGTTTTTTCCATTTTACCAAACTATGTATCTTCACCCTTTTCGATTATTACGCCTCAGTTGCAAGTTTATCGTCATTCTAAGCATAGACTGGTTGTTCCAAATGCTCTAACTCCACGGTCATCACCCTATTCTATTGAGGCCTTCCCCTTTGAGTCGTCAGCTAGTTCATCCTTTTCTAATTTACCTATTACATTGAGGAAATGTACCTTTGCTTCTACCAAGCGTCCTATTTCTAATTTTTTTTCCAATTGACTTTCATCATCCTTTCGTTGTTTTGCATCAACCATCTTTTGTATTTGTTTCTAACTTTTTGCAATAGGCTTTTGCAATCTCCTGACTGAAAATTGACTATGGATGAAGAAATGAAAGCCTTTCATGAAAATCAGACATAGGATCTTACTTCTCTTACTTCTGGTAAGCGGCTTGTTAGTTGTCGTTGAGCTTACAATGTGAAATATCATCCTAGTGAGACTTTTTTCCCTGTTGCTCGTCTTAACTCTATTAGATTTCTTATTTCTATTGTAGTTAGTTGTGATTGACCTTTATATCAGCTAGATATCAAAAATACTTTTTACATGGAGACCTACAAGAGAAGGTATATATGGTACAACCTCTACGTTATGTTACCTTTAGTAAGGAACAAATTAGTGTCATTTGAAGAAAGCACTATATGGTCTAAAACAATCACTGTGTGCTTGATTTGGTAAGTTCAATATTGTTGTATTTCAATATGATTTTCAGTACTCTACCTCAGACCATTTAGTTTTTATTCATCGTTCTTCCACAGGTGTTATTATTTTTATTGTGTATGTTGATAACCTTATCATTAGTGGTAATGGCCCAAATAGTATTGTCCATTTTAAGATTCATTTGGGAAAATAATTTCAAACTAAAGACCTAGATCTTCTTTGTTATTTTCTTAGAATTGAAGTTGTTGGTCAAAGGAATGTATCAAATTGTGCCAACAAAAAAGTATGTATTAGATTTATTATCTGAAATTGGTACTCTTGATGCATGTCTAGCTGATACTCTCATGGATTCCATGGTTAAGTTAGATGTTGAGAGCTAAGTCACATTGAGCGAGAGCCAGAACACAACAGCGATAAAATTAAAAAATACTTGAAAGCGAGAGCGCTTTGAGAACGTCATATTTTTAAAAATTAAACTTTATTTACAAATATATGGAAAATAGGTAAAAAAAAAATCTAGGTTCAAATAAAAAAAATGAACTGTGAAAAAAAACCTTAAGGCATTGGCTTCAATCCCACATCGACAAACTCAAGAAAAAAAGGGAGCTTCACTACCTATAAAAGGCAGTAGTCCTTTACTCCACTCTTCAACCCCTTCCCACGTGGTTAAACATGTGGCTGCAAGGTGGAAAACTCTCAAATCGAGGTGAGTACATTTGGCAGCAGAGTAAATGGAGTTCAAAATTTTAATGATTTAGCTTCTTTTATTGTAGTTTTTAAGATTCGCAAATTTATTTGAATAAATTTGTGGATTTGTTTTGTTGAGTTCGCAAATTTATGGTGAATTCGCTCTTAAATTGCAAATTTGCACTCGAAGCTTGAGAGTGCTGGTGTGTTTATGCAAATCATGTTACTAAGCCTGACAGTGGTGAAATTTTTGATGATATAGAGCGTTATCAAAAGTTAGATGGTAAGCAAATTTACCTTATAGTTATACGTCCTAATATTACCAACGTTGTTGGTGTTTTTAGTCAATTCATGCATGCTCCTCGCAAGTCTCATTGGGAGATTATTTTTTGTATTCTTGGATATCTGAAAGGAGCACCATGTAAAGGAGTATTATATCGTTCTTCATCTATTACTATTACTGACTTTTTCTAATGCTGACTGAGCATGTATTCGTGCTAATAGACGATCTACTTCGGGTGACTTACATTTATTGATGGTAATCTTGTAATGTGACCTAGCAAGAAATAGAATGTAGTTGCTCGATCGAGTGTAGAGGCTAAATATCAAACCATGACTCATACTGCGCATGAAATGTTGTTAGTTATTTACTTCATGATATGGGTATCAATGTGACCTCTCCTATGGAGATGTATTGTGACAGCCAAAGGCTATTTTCATTGCCAATTGTCCGATATTTCATGAGAGGACTATGCACATTGAAGTAAATTGTCATTTTATTCGAGATCTCCCGATGCGAAAGGAGATTATCACACCATACATCAAATCTAGTAATTAATTGGGTGATATTCTTATCAAATTATTAGCTCGATCTGTCTTCACTAATCTTTGTTCAAAGCTGAGCATCTTTGATCTTTATGCCCTAGCTTGATGGGGAGTGTTAGAGTTCTTATATTATTAGAAATATAGGGTAATAATGTAATTATTCATAATGTCAATTTATTATAAATAAGAGTATAGAGCAACATAGCTTACAAAAATTATTCTCATCTTCTCTCATTCTTTTTCTTTCTCTTTATCTTCTTCTCTTCTTCTCTCCTTCTTATAACATAGTATTGTAGTTTTTACTTCTTAACTAAGCCCATTGCCTTGTAGTCGTCTAATCCCTACAAACAAGCAGCTAGAAGTTTCTGGGCAGCTTAGCTCAAAATAACCATCAAACGCATCAATGTAAACAAAGTTATCATACTAGATGGGCTCTACCTAAAGACTTATAGGTCACTTACAATTAGAAGTTGAGAGGAGAAGAAAGGTAAAGGAAAAACAGGAAAATTGGTCACGTTATTTCTCAGTCACAGTCCAAAGCCAAAAGAACCAATGAACCATCTGGCATCTAGCCTTACTTTCTCTGATTCAAATGATCTAGTAAAGAAATCAACTCATACAAATAAGACCCCCCTGACCTGCAGATTTGACTAAGATCCTACTCCTGCAGTCCTGGCTCCCAATATTTCCAAAAAATATTTGTACAATCCTTGTCATTTGTGTTTCAAAGAACTACTTGCAACCCATGGTATTCTTTTATTTTGGAAAACTGAATCTCACAATCCTCACCCAAAAGACAGTGACAGTTTGATGTGTTTCACACCAAACGACATACACTCCAGGTAAAACATCCTCTAGTTTTCTGAAAACCAAAACAATGACCCATACCATTTTGGATGTGGAATCAACTTATTCATGATGCTCTCCATCGTAACTTCAAGTGCCCATTCCATTCAATGTAGTTCTCTATGGTAATAAAAAAGTGATAAATTTCAGCACAAGACTTCTCTCATTAGTAGATAGCATTTTCAAGTAAGTTATCAGGTTGCTATAACAAAAACTCGGGATTAGAAATTAGAATAACCTACAACCTTGCCTTACCTTAGAAAATATGCTTAACCATGAGCAACCTGGCAGGAGGGCCAGGACAAAGATAACAGGCGTCCTCTTATGTGCCTCAAGCAGCAATTTATACACTTCAAATGAAAGCAATGTGTACTGACCTAAGGTTCACAAGAAATAAAAAAAACAACTACACCTCTGTCATATTGCGGAAACTAGTATAACTTACCGTCCAAACCATTAAGCTCTTTCTGTATTAGTCCTCGAATGCATTTCAACTTCATATTCTTTACACTTGGTTGCTTTGGCATTAAAAGGACACATCATCATAATTTGCCTAGTTCCAGAGTTAGTGCCCCTTAAGAACTTTTCCATCTCTTTCTGTCTACATTTCCTAATATATGCTTAAAGCAAAGAAAGTTATTACTTTGCAATTTACCATTCAGATCTGCACCAGCATATCTTACTGGCACTATTGTCTTCACATATTCTAAAAAGAATCCTATGCCTGTTGTCTAATTCATATTATTTGCATATCAAATTGGTAAATTCTTATGGAAACAATGTAATGACCATTAAGTAAAGAATAATCGCAGAAGTTGATTTTCACCACTTAAAGAATTCCATGTTGCATATTCCCACTTTTCGATACATATGCAACACGACCCAATATTCCTGTCAACGATGATTCCATTCTGTACCACTCAGCAAAACATTTAAATATAGTTCTATAGCTCCACTCCAGACAACTTGCGTCAAAATTGCAGTAAAGACAATCAAGCACACAAAATGGAAAACTATCTAACATATGAACAGCAAAGCAACACACATGCAAAATGCAGTCAAACAGCGGCTGAGGATCTATATCGCCGCCTGTGAAGTGTTTGTGGAATTTTGATAGTAGTACTGAGGAATATATATATATAAGAATGACAGATCCCCACCTCAAGGAAGAAGAATAAGAATGAATGAATGTCTTACTGCTTGGCACGTTTTGTATCTGTTTCAGATACAGTAAGCTTGGCACCAAAAGAATCCTTTCTTTCATGACAAACTTTTGGATCATGCAAGCCAGATTGAACTGAATTATGTTTTTCATTTTCTGCGGACAGAACCTCATCTGCTTCTTGTAAAGCACCTGATAATCCCGAGTTTTGAACAATGTTATCCCTAGCAGAGGGAAGGCCACTAGGATGTGCAACCGTAATCAAAGATGAATCCCAGGCCTGATTCTTATGTTTCCCTGAATAGTACAGCTCTGCATACGAAGCATGTTGTGCATCCTCATAACCAACGTCTTGAGATCTCCATGAAGGCATAGAAGTTAAATTTCTAGATTGGTGCTCATCTTGAGCTGCATAATCTGAGTCAGAAGCATTAGCAACATCTATGTATGCAAAGGAGTCACTTGATGAACGCCGATGACCTCCTTTGCGTACAGGTGTTTCTGGCTCATTAAGGAGTTCATCCAGCCAAGAAGGTTGCTCCTCTATCAGAAAGCTCTCCGAGGAAGTACGTTGGTGGTGTGAATTCCCCTGTCTAGGTTTTGGGATACCTGTCGGTCTGATTGCAGGAGTTGGGACATAATCCACATATGATGGTGAAATGCTAGGGAATGGACATCTAGGAGGAAGTAAAGAGTGTTTTCCATTATACATCATGTTTCGGATGCATGATGGCCCCTTGGAATTCGCCATAGCCCAATCACAAGCAGCCCCTGTCAACATATATTATAAAATGACAAATCATTCAATAAGCCAACAGACAAAATGCATAAGAAGTACGGAAAAAGAAAAGGAAACAATGAAGTATGGAAAAAGAAAAGGAAACAATCCCAGGTCCACTTATAGAATCCTTTGTAATTGGAACACCAGGTAACAACAAAACTAGGCGAATCAGCCAAAACCATTTGATTATCTCAAAAAATAGTGAACTAACAAAAGATAGTAGATATACAAAAACCTCGTAAGGACATACATAATACCCTCGGCTTTCAAGACACAGAATGTGAGCAAAAACAGACTGACAACTGCTGATTTAAGGCCATGTGTTTGCAATACATGCACAATCCAAAAATCCATTTTATAGCAACCTCAAACAAGGGAAAAAAAAGAGCCAAGGGAACAAGTTCAATAGTAATGTAAAAACATTGTAATTATAAGAATTAATCTAGCTAAATAGAAAAAAGGCAGATCCAAGAGCAACAGTGCTAAAAAAACATAATAATGATAAGAAAAAGTCTAGTTAAGGGGGCAGAAGACAATTTAACATGATTTGACTTCCAATAATCAAAGACAAGTCAGGAGCCAACAAGCATTCCAGACTTCTTCAGTTTAAATTGGACCATAAACCTTAAAGACCAAATTGACATTAAATAATCCCTTCTAGGAAAGACTGGCATTTTACTCAATAGTAAAGAGGTTCCTACAGAAACTAGACTGACTTGCAGGATGTTAAATCAAAGAAATTATAATGGAATATAGCTACACTAGCAAGATTATTACACCAATTCTGGAAAAATATTCGAAACAACACATCTTAAAAGGCGAAGGAACCAAGTCACTCAAAACATGTGCTTAGAACCATATAATTCCTAGAAACAATTATGCATTGCTTAATATGCAGAGAGAAAGAAGAGATCCAAGGAAAAACATTTCGGAGAGGACAGAACCAGAAGAAGAAGTTGCCTTTCTCTAAGGATATATAACATTGGGCTTTGCCTTGAGTGCAAAAGTTGATTTCAATGTTGGGCTTCCAGCAACATGCGGGAACAGGACTGACAAGGCCACTCGTAATAAACAATTAATTCAGTTTTTTGTTTTTAAATTTTCAGTGAAAAAGGCTTTTGGCTTGCCCTTGCCTTCAAATGCCAGCCAATTGATCTACAATAGCTTTGGCTAGTAACCAACAATTTGTCTAATTAGAAAACTGCCATCTTCTAAAGGCAAAACTAACATTAGCAAACCATAAATGCTTGATTTGATAAAGATAGAAATGTCAGCTGAAATGAGTATCAGAACTGGCTGCCAACAAAAGGAAAGGAAAATTCATTTTCCAACCACAAAAGTCAACATGCCAGGGTGAAAATCTATTGCACAGTTACTACACATTCAGACAGCAATAGAGAGGCTAACTCTAAATTAAAGCTGCCCCCAAATGGAAGTACTTCAACGAATTAATTTGGAATTTCAAAAGTAAAACTTTACAAAGTACTTGATCCCTATGCCTGAAAACTCATTTTGGAACTTCAAAGAATTCTTAAGTTTATTAAGACTGCTAAATTTTCTTTTTGGAAAAATTTCAACCACACCCGATCTAGTTTACCATGTCTTCTAGGACACCCCTCTAAATAAGCATATCTTCAATAAGACCTATTCTGTTTTCTAAATTTTTTTAGGTATAAAAATTTGGGCCGATTAAAATTTGATTTGAGCTAATTAAAATTTATTTTTTACGTACTAAAATTCGAATCAATTAAAAATTATATTTTTTTACGAATTAAAATTTGAGCCAATTAAAAATCATTTTTAATCGACTCAAATCAAATTTTAATCAACTTGCATTAAATTTTAATCGGTCAAATTTTAATACATAAAAAAATATAAATTTTAATGAATGGAATTTTAATTGACACAAATTTTAATAAGTAAAAAAATATAAATTTTAATCGACTCGAAGCGAATTTTAATCTATACTACCAACTCGGATAGAGCTCAAATTGACTCGAATTTTAATACGTAAAAAAAGAATTTTAATAGGCTCGAATCGAATTTTAATATTCAAAAAAATAAATTTTAATTAATTTGAATTTTAATATGTAAAAAAATAAATTTTAATTCACTCGAATTTTAATCGAATTTATGTAAAAAAATTGTTTTGAGTTTATGTGGGGGCATTTTTTATATATATTTTTTTGTTAGAACTGGTGGTTTAATAGTAGGGGATGTCAATGATATTTAAATATAAACTAGAAGGGGTGTCAATGATGTTTTTGATAATAGAGGGGATGTCCTTTAAGATAAGCAAACTAGAAGTTGTGCGCCTGAAATTCTCCATTTCTTTTTTAATGGTATGTAGCTAGATCTAAAACAAATGAAAAGATCATCCCGAATAAGCATTGCATGGGTTTATTGGAATAGGCAATAGTAAAAAAATTGCTTATGCATTGAGATGTTGCTCAGGAGCAATAGGCACTACAATTCTCCTGGTTCAAAGTAAATTGCCTGATCCTCGAATCAGTTATGGGCACGAAAAGGGTTGTGATTAGGGAGTTATTTATCACACTACCGGCTTTTTAAAACAAATATATCAAAATACGGGATTTTTAACTTATTTACCAAGTTACAACACTTTTTAAAAATGAAGTCAACAATCCCGCTTTTAAATAAAAAATGTGGTGTCGGTGCTACAAGCTCATAACATCTTAAGGTTGTGTTTAATTTAGGCATTAGATAGTATCGACTTGGACAAACCCATCCATACCATACCCATCTATTTGGGCTTTGGACTAATTATAATGATAATGTCTCCTCATCTCATATTTGGTTCAAGTATTAAAAAGTAGTGGATCCTACATTTATCCCATTCAATACTTTGTTTTTATGGAATATTGAATAATGATATAAACATTAAATTACTAAAAAACCCTCAAGATAATTATATCCTAGAGACGTTTGGGGGTAAAAATGTCTTTTGTCAAAGTATACCCCAATCGGATTATTTAAACCCAAGAAATAGGTGGGTTTATTTAAAAGGCTATATGTGGGTTTAAATACATTATTCATCTGGGCCAAGAGTATTTTTAGGTGATAATACTAGACCCAAAGTGTGTATCCAAACAAGGAAGTACAAAGGATAAGGTGAGCCCAGACATTATTTTGTCTAAGATTCCTTCCTAATAACTAAACCAAACACACCCTAAAAGTGTATTTACTAACCACGTTTTTTAATAACAACCCTTGTTCAGTTGCAATAGTTGTGTACGTGTCATCACTTTGTACATGTGTCAAAGTAACTACAATGTGTATTCAGTCAATGCAAACACGGTCTGTGTATTACACTAAGTACAACACAAAAATATGTTATGTCGGTTAATGAGTGAGAGAGAGTGATAGAGAGAAATAATGGGTCATCATCAATAAAAATGTGTTAAGTCAGGGTTTTTCAAAAGCAGGTTTAATAACCACGCTTTTGTTAGTAAACACGATTTTTCTGCTTCTTAACCATATTTTTTTATTTAAAAACGGGGATGTTCACCCCGTTTTTTAAGAAAAGCGAGATAGTTGACTCCATTTTTAAAAAGTATCTTATTTTAGTATATTTGTTTAAAAAGGACTGTACTTTGGTAAATAACACTGTGATTAGGCGGGATAGGCACCATCATACCTTTAATGATACACTTAGAAGACATGTTGGTTTTGTTTTCATGTTGTAGAAAGAAAAAATAATTTTGAGCTTGCATTATTTTTGGCCTTCAAGAAAGTTTAAATCCTTTGAAGATTTTTAGGAAGGCATGCCATTTGGTTATATATAGTGAATTTGAGTACTCAGGCATGCCATTTGGTTATATATAGTGAATTTGAGTACTCAGGCATTCCTTCATATCTAGTGTAGAAACTATTTTGTCATGCAAGGTTGAGAGCTATTGAATCTTGCTCAATGTTGCTATAATTTAACAAACCGAAAAGCTCAACGTCGAATTTCTGTCCCTTCAAGTTGGCCACCGAGCAAGAGACTCTGACACCCCCACACCATTGCAACAGGAGGGGGCTTGCTGCTAAGAGGTGGCAGGAGCACAACGGCCTAGTGTGATGGAATTTCTTATATTACTAATAAAAGAGTATCTGTTTTTTCTAATCTTTTTGGGTAACTTCATCCAATAAAAATAGTCCTCGCTTTATAAAACACTAGCTAATACTTGTGCCTAAAAGGACTGTGCAACATAAAAAACATCATCAATTAGACAAACTGAAATCAATTTAGACTGTTGAACAAAAAGATTAAAATCAATTTGGACCCATTACGTACTTAAAAAATTTAGAAAAACTTAGTATAAACATAGGTCCATAGAAAACTATCAAATATTTGTACGTAATTTTCATAATCAAACATCAAAAGGTTAGTAATTGGTACACACCTATTTATTATGTGGAAAAAACACGGCACAAATCAATTACCAGACTCACTCCTATTTTAATACAACCATTTGCCAACTACCCCAATGGCATAATATAGTAACATAAAAGTAGTACTTATATTCCCATGACTATAAATCCACAACAATTATACAGAATGAATGAAATTAGCAAATAAGTCTTCTATGCGCCAATATCAAATTCCTTAACTCTAATCACACTATCGATCAAAAAAAATGAATGAATGCAATATAAAGAAGTGGAAAAGAATCTAGCCAGCCCATCTATCTAACACAAGTTACACAACACAATTGCTACAGGTGATCTATAATTTCAGTCTTTGGCTTTAGGTTGCAATCACCTTCATTCTCTCCCAAATAAATACATCAGGTCATTTTGTTCAACAGGAAAACAAAGTTATATGATCAAAAATAAACATTTCCAAAATTGAGACAACGACGAAAAAATGCAATCCAGGAATAAATAACGAACATTGCAAAACTAAAAAAGAATTGTTTAATAAGAACATAATTAAATTTAAAAACAATAATGGATGTATTTTCTAAAGAACTGACATTGGTCACTTCTGAAAAAGTGATTTTAACCCCTCATTTAACAATAATCATTCAGCAAATTGTTAAAATAGTGCCTACCTGCTAATAGGGAACAATTTTTTCATTTTCTTTTTTTTTTTTTTACTTAAACATCTATTATTCCTACTTTTTGAATTTATTTTATTTGAAACCTTTGTTGTTTAGACCAAGTCAAATAGCCCAATCCCTTCCTTTGTTTCCAAAATCTTGTGAGATTTTGAATTGTGCAAATATTTTGTACAGTCCTCATCATCATGGGCATTTGAATTTGAAATGTGTCCTAAATTCGGTCAAAAAGAGAGCCTATGATCCCCTCCCTCAGCAGAGCCAAAAATCTTGCTTTCTTTTGTTTCTCCACAAACGGCGATTAAATAAATCAATCAGAAAACAAACATCTTCTTGCATATTGGGGGGGGGGGGGGGGGAATAGGTCAAAAGTCATATCTTTGCTTATCAGGAGCTACAACTATGACACTCGGTGTCCCAAAAAATAAAAAGTTAATAACAGGAAAAGTGGAGACATGGCAGAAAGAGGGAATATTCAAAGCCATGGTAACAATCAAAAACACACACAGCATTGGTAGAAAGGCCAAAAAAATGAATTTCCTAGTGTAGACTCATCAATTCGTTCACAAATCAGTTTGTTTGTTTTTTTTTCCTAAGAATCTCCTCTCCAATCGTCTTTCTCAATTGTTGAAATCTAATTCTCAAAACCCCTAATTACAACAAAGATGCACACGGAGGAAAATCACACACGTGCAAACATAGAAAGCTCAATTGCCACAGAGTATTCGTCGATGAATATAACAGACACACAAATACAGTTAAAGAAATTAGATAGACACTTTCCAGAGAGAGAAAGAGGAGCAATTTCATACCACACCATGAAGATGCAAGCTAAAAATTTCTCACAAAAAGGCTTCCAGGCCACACTCTACTGTTCTATAGGAACCTGCTAGCCAATACATTAACAAACTCAAATCAAAAAATCAACCACATTCAACAGACATGTCACACAGCACTCCATCAAAAACAAAAAAGAAACAGCTACATTGAACAAAAAATCAAAAAAAAAAACCTAGCCAAAACTGAAGATTGGAGATTTCGGTGGTTATGGGACGATGTTCCGGTACGCGGAGAGAACGATGGCGATGGGGTGGGGTGGGTTTCATTGGAGTTGGTGGGTGAAATGAGATAGGGAGTGGAGGAAAGAAGGAAAAGGAGAGTAACAGAGAGAGAGAGAGAGAGCAAGAGAGAGACATACCTTGAGGCTCGGTGGCGCCGGAGCTGGGTTACTGCGATGGTGGCATCGTGCGTGTTGCTGGGAGAGGATCTGGGGAGTGGAGAGAGAGAGAGTAGTGAAGAATCAGAAGGGGTAATACCGCGTGATGGGAGATAGAAAAGGGGCATGAGAGAGGGAGAGATGACAGAGATGGGGTCAATAGGGGGGGGGGGGGGGGAGATAGGAGAGAAGCGTGAGATTGGACGAGAGTAGGGCGAGAGATCGGACG